GCCCCCGGCCCAGCCCCCGCTCCCTTCCCCTCACCCCCACAACCACCTCCCCTCCCAGCCAGCCCCATAGCACCTGGACCAGCCCACACTCCCTTCCCCTCACCCCCACAACCACCTACCCTCCCAGCCAGCCCCACAGCACCTGGACCAGCCCACACTCCCTTCCCCTCACCCCCACAACCACCTACCCTCCCAGCCAGCCCCATAGCACCTGGACCAGCGCACACTCCCTTCCCCTCACCCCCACAACCACCTACCCTCCCAGCCAGCCCCATAGCACCTGGACCAGCCCACACTCCCTTCCCCTCACCCCCACAACCACCTACCCTCCCAGCCAGCCCCATAGCACCTGGACCAGCCCACACTCCCTTCCCCTCACCCCCATAACCACCTACCTTCCCAGCCAGCCCCACAGCGCCTGGACCAACCCAGGCGCCCCAGCCCACACACCTGCCTCCATAACTACTTTCCCTCTTGACCAGCCCCACAGCCCCCAGATGGGCCAAAGCTCCCCCTCCTCCACAACAGCCCACCCTTCCCGCTACCCCCACAACACCCAGGTGGGCCTGGCCTCTCCAACCCTCTTCCCAATCCTCACAGTGACCGACAGAGCCCAAACAGACCCACGCTCCCCCATTCCCACAGCCGTCCAATCTGTGGAGAAGACCCACAGCACCTGGCTAGGCCCAGCCTCTACATTCCCCTCCTATGCAACCTCCCAGCCTCCTAGCCAGCCCCACAGCACCCAGATGGGCCCAGCTCCCTCCCTCCCCACAACCTCTCAGCCTCAGGATGAGACCCACACTGTCCAGATGGACCCAGCTCCCTCCAGCCTCGCAATAGCCCAGCTTTGGGATGAGACCCAAAGTGCCTGGACCGGATCAGTTCCCTCCCGCCCCACAACCCCTCAGCCTCAGGACGAGACCCAGAGCGCCGGGACGGGCCCCGCTCCCTCCCGCCTCACAACCCCTCAGCCTCAGGACGAGACCCAGAGCGCCGGGACGGGCCCCGCTCCCTCCCGCCTCACAACCCCTCAGCCTCAGGATGAGACCCACAGTGCCTGGATGGGCCCCGCTGCCTCCCACCCCACAACCCCTCAGCCTCAGGATGAGATCCACAGCGCTGGGGGGGGCCCCACTCCCTCCCGCCCCACAACCCCTCAGCCTCAGGATGAGACCCACAGCGCCTGGACAGGCCTCGCTGCCTCCCGCCCCACAACCCCTCAGCTTCAAGATGAGACCCACAGTGCCCAGATGGGCCCCACAACCCCTCAGCCTCAGGATGAGATCCACAGCGCCTGGCCGGGCCCAGCTCCCTCCCGCCCCACAACCCCTCAGCCTCAGGACGAGACCCACAGCGCCCTGACGGGCACAGCTACCTCCCTCCCCACAACCCCTCAGCCTCAGGACAACACCCACAGCGCCCAGACAGGCCCCGCTCCCTCCCGCCCCACAACCCCTCAGCCTCAGGACGAGACCCACAGCGCTCAGACAGGCCCAGCCTCCCTGTCCCAGATCATGCCCCCTGGTGCCCACGTGCCGTGCACCAGCTCAGCAGTTAATGGTTGTGCCAAGACACCTGCAGCACCCAGGCTGCCAGGCACCCAGACTGCACAGACAGGTAGGTGCAGGGGCCTGTTCCCAGCAGGGGTCCAAAGCCCTGGGCTGGGTGGGGCGTGTGGACAGCACCTAGACACCAGGCCTGCCTGGAAAGGGATTCGGCCAGGCCCTCGTAGGGTGATAGCCCCCTCCCCAGCCTGGCGGGGCTGGAACCCGTGCGCCCATAGTCCGTCCTTCTCCCCCGTGACATCCATTCCGCACCACCCCACATTGGGAAGCCCCAGGCCTTTGCAGAGGGAAATCCCGTTATCCACCGCTGTGGGGGTAAACCGAGGCACGAGTGAGTCAGTGCCTAAGTTGGGGGGAAAAACCCAGGAGTCCTGTCAGCGTATCCCCCTCCTTCCCTTCCCCACTACGCCCCCATGCCAGAGCTGGGATAGAACCAGGAGTCCTGGCTCCCAGTTCCCCCTTGCCCTGGTTCTAACCAGTGGATCCCACTCCCCTGCCTGAGCTGCCTTGGCGTGTTCAGTAGCAGACAAGGCCATTGTCAGTGGGGGAGGGGTTGGCAGCCAGGTGTTCCCTGGGCCCTGTTGGTTGGGGGTGCTGTGTGGGGGGTGTCTCTGGCTCAGGGCTTTACAGGTGGTTTCCTTGTGTCCCATCCCACAGACGCTGCCTCCATTCTAACCAGTGGATCCCACTCCCCTGCCTGAGCTGCCTTGGCGTGTTCAGTAGCAGACAAGGCCATTGTCAGTGGGGGAGGGGTTGGCAGCCAGGTGTTCCCTGGGCCCTGTTGGTTGGGGGTGCTGTGTGGGGGGTGTCTCTGGCTCAGGGCTTTACAGGTGGTTTCCTTGTGTCCCATCCCACAGACGCTGCCTCCACGCCGGGCCGGCCCC